AACTGTAATCTATGACTTAGCATGCAATTTTAACGAGAGAAAGAGTCTTGAAAGCGGCGTTTTTCGATTGATAATGAATTGTTTTGTCATTGTTATACGATTGTTATTGTTTGGTCGTCAAGGACGCTAACACTCACAAGTTTGGTTTTAAACAAGCAACAATAATAGTTTTTAAGGACTTAAAAACATTTAGACTTAAAATACTATTGGTATTTAACATTTATATAAACTTATATTTGAGTTTTCTAGACAATGTAAGCGCGAAAGTGTTGTTACTCGAGTTGCCGTGTTGCTGTGTAGCGAACTAAAATTTCTAGGTTCCGTGTATTACCGTACGTTTAGACTTTTTGGTACTGAAAAACATTTTCAAATGAAATACTTTTAATAGTTAACATTAATAATAGAGCATTTTATACAAATTGAGCGCAAAACAAGATAACGGTCTTACCATAGTTAGCAATGGTTAAACTAACGGTCATATTTTAGCATATGGTTTGACTTTCATAGCATTTGGCAGCTCCTAAAGGAGCTATTTTGAGTCTTAAAGAGGACTCACTCTTTTCGCCCAGCACATAAGTGCGAGCAGGCACGAAGTAGTCTTGTGGCATTTTTGTCGATGTCATATGTATCCCAGCTACAGAATACTTTCGATTGGAGCTCGCGGTACTTCTTCTTCTGCGTTCGTTTCAGCTTCTTCTCTGAAATGAGCCTTATCTGTAGGGATACTAGCGACGCTTCCTTGTGTAGCTGGTTGATAAGGAGGTACAATGGTAGGCTGTTCTTTCCATCTGCCCGGCGGTGCAATGCGTTGTGCCATCCCTCCACGTCTTTGTTGGTTCTTATGGCTTTCTGCGTTACCTAGCTTGATCGTGCGAAGCATGTGGGCGGTTATAAATAAACGTATTGTTTGTATGTTATGATTTAGGCCATATGCTGATATTTAATGTTTGTTATTAAAAGTATTTCATTTGAAAATGTTTTCCAATACCTAAAAGTATTTAATTTTGCTGTGTTTAGCCTGAACTTCGTAGCACGACATCATAGCGGAGCTCCCGCGCGGGCCGAAGGCCCGCGCGAGCGGAGCACCATAGCTAAGAAAAAATGGTATACCATCGAGGTGATTTTCCATGGACCGACACAGGGTTCCCGCGCGTACGTACGTTTCCGTCCTGGATTCCGTGTACCACCACAGGAAACCCATAATCCGCTCGAAAAGGAAACAAAGCGCCAATTATTTGTTGAAAAATCGAAATTTTTTCCTTAAACATTTATATTACATATTGATAATATATAATAAATATAGAACAATTAATCACAAGGCAAAAAATCCACTGAAGAGCGAAATAACAGCACAGAAATATTCCCGCCAATTTTGTCATAACTTCGACGCGTCCGCACATCCGGGAAATCGATTTGCGAAGATGAAAAGCAATTTAGGCCCATCTTAAAAGTGATATTAGAAA